ATCAGCTCATCATCAAGCTCTGCAGAAGTCTGATAACGATCCTGATCATTTGAATCAGGTGTGTTGGAAGAGGGAAACATCTAAAACATGCAGGATTGCGGCCCTCGAGGACCGGATGTCGACACCCCTGCTCTATTTTAACTCCTGTCCTCAAGGTTAGAAAAGCCCAGTCTGCTCTGATTGGTCAGCGGGTCCAACAAAAGCGAAAGTTGCTCATGTACTGTACCTCCACATCTCTGAGTAAAGGGACGTAGCTCGAGCAGAAGCAGCTTCAGCGAGGAAATCGACTGCGAGGAAGCTGCTCATTCGCTCTGTGAGAGCGTGCAAAACCAGCTGCTAGTCAGCTGTTATGCAAATGTGTGACACAGTGATGCAGATAAGTAACAGAAGTAAAGCCTGTACTTTAATAGGTGTTTCAGGCAGGTAAGGATCAGAGTTTTACTGTCTGTGGTGCGAACTTTGTAAGTTTGCAGGAATTTTACAAGCACAAAAAAGCAGTTTTATACATTACAGAAGCAAAGGAGATAGAAAAAGAAAGCAGAATAAGGGCTCTTTAACATGAAACGTACCTCCAGTTTGGCACATGTGCATCATAGTCCCAGTACTCTCTGTTCTTCTGTGTGTTGACGTCGGTGTACACCCGAGCCTTGCTGCTGGCCGGCGTGGATCCGGGCATCGCTAGCTTTGAGGCTCCGTGTCGAGGACCTTCACCTCCCGCTGAATACTTGTTGGCTCGATACTGGAAGGCGGCGCACCGACTCTGCAGAATTTGCGGCGTTAAGATCCCCGCGCTGTGCTTAGCATTGGCTTTGGCTGCTTGTGCCGTCTGGTGAAAGGCGTCGGGCCGGTCCGATCCCACCGCCGTGCAGAACGACAGAGCTACGATGAACGACTGAGTGAAGCCCCTGAGCAAGACGTTGGGCAGGAGGGGATGAAGAGCCGCCAGCTGCAGGGAAAACAAGGAGACAAGCATTACTGTAGTGGTGGAACTAGCTATAAAATCTGGAGGAATCAGTTTATCATTCTGGTTAGAAAAGCAGAAATAATAAGAAAAACAAGCCCAAGATCATATATGTAGTTGAAAACAGTGATTATTCAGTTGATTCTGTAAAAATGTTGATAATCAATGAATCAGTGACATCATTTTTCAATCAAAAATGCCCCAAATCTGATGGTATCACCTTCACAAATGTCAAAGTTTGCTGCTTTTCTTTGTCTGACATTTCAGTCAATTGTATTTAGTTTTTTCCTCCCAAGGTTTCAGACAACAACAAAGGGAAATCAAAAGTGCAAAAACCAGAAACATGCTGTATTCAATGATGTCACGTTGTGCTGTAAGCAACAGTGATGGACATTCTTTGATGAATCATGCAATTGAAAAAAAAAAGATTGATATATTTATTAAAATAATTGTGTGTAAATTTAACAATCAGCCCACATTGGTTTGAGATATTTACTTTTCAGTTGCAAATCACAGAGAAAAGCATCAAGTTCTCGCATTTGTGAAGCTAAAACAAGCGGAACTGTTCCAGGAGCCGCATTTAAGTGTATTTCTAATTACACCACATATTGATTATTCCACATATATCTGCAAGCATGCTCCCTCCACGGGGGGTGAGGACGTATTCAGTCCGGCTTACAGCAGTCCCCGTCACTGAGCCCAGCCTCAGGCTCATTCCTGCGTCTCTGGGTGAATGGCATCTGTAACGCTGCAGTTAAACACATTTTAGGACACTGAAACCACTGCATCCTCCCTGTTTTTATATCGGGTCTAATTTGCAATAAACTCAATGCAACAGTGAACTTTTATTTTGGAGATATTTTTGGCAAGACGACTGTGAGTCTGACATACTTCGCCCACACTCTCTATGTGGTAAAAAAAAAACTACAGGAAACTCAAGTAGAGGTCAAAGAAACGCTCTTTTTTTATTTTTTTGTCACGTCAGTTAGCCATTAAATCAGTTTGACTCATTCATGTCAACTGACTAATCAATTAATTCACTAATCGTCACAGCTCTCTTTAACAACAGTAGAGTCTAGATTTTAAAAGTGCTTTTCAGTTTTCTGACAGTATTTGTGAAAACAGGATTGTATTTCTCCAACCCAATGAATGCAGATTTTAAAAGTGAAGAATGCTGTTAGAAATCTCATTTGCTGAGGAAACAGTTTATCTTATTTTTTTTTTAAATTCTGTCTCAACATGGGTCTTTAGAGTCTGTCAACACAGCTGGAACCTACTCATAAAACGGCAAAATTCACAGGTAAATCAAAATTAACAGTCTCTCAAAGAAAACTTAAACATCCACTGAGGTCCAGCATTTTGGTAATTAATTGTGGATAATTGTGCTTGTGTTCAACGGCAACTTGAGTGAATGAAACAACAATTAACAAAACTGTTTAATAAAAAAATCTTATTTTGATTCTCCACTCTTGTTAAATGAAGTATCCTAAATGTTTATTATATTTGTGAAAACCACACAGGCCAGCTCAAGTCAACACAACGCAGACTTAAGATTTCTCAAACCTGAATTAGAATATCATCATAGAATTTAAATCCCAGTTTCACTATATAAATACATGTATTCAGTGTACACAAAGACAAAATGAGAATTGTGAGTCTTTTCTCAAACCAGACCACATCTGGCTTCATCTAGTTTAACTATTAGAATCCCCAGACTGCTCCATTTGTCTCCATCCGCCATCAAAAATGTCAGATTAATGTGGAAACTTGAGACCGTCTGAACCCTGATTTACATGCCACACTTTTTTTGGTGAGAAACAAACAATTGCGTTCACTGCGTTTCCTCTTTCCAAACCAAAATTAGATCAGCTCTCGCCCAAACCTCGCTGCACTTAGACTTGTTAAACCTGAATTACATTAACGTGTTCCTGTCAGTGCGGATGAACGATGAGACGTGTGAAGGCCCCACACGCCCCCGACACCAGCAACACACTCGGAAAGGGACAGAGAACACTCACTTTGTGTGTCTTTGTAGTTGTGTTGCACTGCCGGGGAGTTAATTCTCATCTCTTTGTTTTCATATTATTTCTCTTTATAGTTTTCTGGTGGGTTGTTTTTTTTTTTTTTTGGTTGTTTGTCCCTTTTTTGAGGTCATTGTGTGTCTCTTTGTAGTCATTTTGTGCCTTTCCTTTGCGGTTCGTCTTTTCATTGTTGTTTGCCCCTATTTTTGAGATTATTGTGTTTCTTTGTTCACATTTTAAATCTCTGTGTAGGTGTTTTGATTTCTCCTTTTGTCTCTTTCTAATCATTTTACATTTCTGTACTGTTGTTTGGAGTCTCTTTGGCTTCATTCTGTGTCTTTTGGTTGTAGGTTTGTCGCCTTTTTTTTGCATCTCATGTTTTTTTCCTTCTTTCCCTTTGTTGTTTTGAATCGTTTGGGTGTCATTTTGTGGTAGATTTACATCTCATTGGAATCATTTCGTCTCTCTTTGTTGATGTTATGGGTCTCTCTGGTGTCATTTTGGTCTCTTTGTGGTTGTTTTGCACCTTGTTCCAATCATTTTACACCCAGATATACAAACAACCTTTTACATCTAGCATTTTGTGCCTTTTTATAATAGTTTTGTATGTTTTGGGAATATATTTCAGTCTCTTTGTGAACCAGGTAAAGCATTGTATTTAATGACATCACATTGTGCTTTACCAAACTGTGATTTAAGGTGATTTTTGGGCTCTCTGTTGCTGTTTCGCACCTCTTTAGAAATGTTTTACATCTTTGTGTGGCCCTTTTGAGCACGTTTGTTGTCATTTTGCATCTCTTTTTCAATCACTGTGTTGGTTTTGTGGTATTTTTGTGTCTTTTTGTCTATGTTTTGAGTCATTTTATGTTTTTTGTGGCTCTTTTGCACCTCTTTGTAGTTGATTTTACATGTCTGCAGGTGATTTGAGAATACTCTGTGTCGTTTTGTGTCCTGTTTTCAATCATTGTGTTGGTTTTATGGTATTTTTGGCGATGTTTCCAGTCTTTCTGTTGCCATTTTGTGTTTCTTCGTAGTTGTTTTGCGCCCATTTGTAATTGCTTTACATCTCTGTGGGGGCGTTTTGCACACACTTGGTGTCATTTTGGGTCTGTTTGTGACCATTTCACATCTCTCTGTGGTCATTGTGTTTTTTTCGGCAGCATTTTGTTGAAATTTAATTTCTTGATTAATACTTTTGCATTTGTAAGTAGTCGTTTTTATGTCTCTCTCTGCCTATATTGCACCTCTTTGTAATTGTTATACATGCTTTTGTTGTCGATTTGAGCATACTTGGTGTCACCTTGTGTCTCGTTTTCGAACACTGTATTGATGTTGTGGTATATTTGTGTCTCTTCGTCCATGTTTCAAGTCTCTCTGTTGCCATTCTGGGTTTCTTCGTGGTTGTTTTGCACCCCTACTAATTATTCTACAATGTGCTACGTGGGCGTGTTGAGCTCATTTGGTGTCACTTTGTGTCTATTTAAGGCTGCTTTGCTCTTTGTGACCGCTGAGTTTTTTCAGTAGCATTATCTCTCTTTTTTTTTGGACATTTAGTGTCGCTCTTTTTCTTCTTCTTTTTTTTAAGGTTATGCATTTCAATTCCAGCCTCTCCTGCTCTTTAGCACCGCTCCGTAATTGTGTAACATGTTTTGTAGTCAATTTGAGCATCCTTGGTGTCATCTTGTGTCTACTTGAGGCTGCTTTGCATCTTTTGTGACCACTTCACATCTTCTTGTGGTCATTGAGTATCTTCTGCTGCATTCTTTGTCTCTTTTTGGTAGTTCTGCACCTGTTTGGAGTCTTTTTTATGTTTCAGAGACATTTTTACAGGAAACCCTCTGAGTCTTTGGGCAGCAGGCCTGCTCAGTAATCCATCCCTGCTTGTTGGGAGGTTCTCCAAAGCCCACAAACCGTTTTCTCATGAACCAAAACCTTCATTTGATTTAAAATCCGTCACAACACGGAGCCTTTACATGAAAACAAAACTAATATTCACACATTAGCTACCAGATAAACTGCGCTAACATCCAGCCTGACTGCTCTCCACCACAGTATCTTGGGACTAACTAGCATCACTTGCGTTACATCCAACGCTAACTACCAAGCTAACTAGTTACGGTGACCTAGCTAGCTAACTTTAGCATAAAATCTAAAAATATAAATAAATAAAGCTACGTCTAAAGCAGCAATGCAGATAAATATAGGTGGTTAATTGATATGTTAATGCACACACAACACATACAGCCGGCAGGTTGTGTATCGGTGGCGACATTAGTGAGATGTGAAATCAATAACGGGGCTAAAGTTAGCCGGCTAACCTCGTCGCAGAAATATCCGAGCTCCGAGGAAGTCCGCCCGACATCAACGGTAGTTAGCCGGTTAGCAGCGGCGGCGCGGCGTTTAGCGGACCCGCAGGAGGCTCCACCGGGGCCGAAGGTGTCGACGAGGCGGGCGATATCCGCAGTATCGGTGATTCGGTGATACTGACAGACGGAGGGTGGAGGTGGTGGAGGTTCATCTAGCAGCGGGTTCGTTAGCAGAACCAGGAGGCTTTCCGCTCTGCAGTAAACATCACCCGGAACCAAACCGCCGAGACTCGACCCCGAAAACACGTAAAACACGTAAAACACGACAATTCAGTCACGGCACTAATATATGTATTTATATTAATGATATTAGTAGAAATAAAAATAAATGGCTGAAGCCTTAATGTACATTTCATTAGTTACTGTTTTTATTATTATTATTATTATTATTATTATTATTATTATTATTATTATTATTATTTTACGTTAACATGCGACATATATTATTTTGCAGTAGTACTATGGAAGTATATTTACTCAAATACAATTTTGATGCACTTGAGTTTGTTTTGTATTTTTACTTCTCGTCTCCCCTTACCGGACATCTGCAGCTACTAATAAGTTTTTAGATTTAGATTTTTGCCTCCAAAATTATTTTTGTTTTTATTATTATTTTCAAAACCCAAACAGAGCAGAAATGGTTTGCCAGTTAATCAATCAGCTGAATGACCTCAACTCTAATGTATGAAGAAATTATATATATCAAAATATATGTATATATTAATTATTATTATTATTAATAATAATAATAATAATAATAACAATAATTATTATTTTTATTTTTATTTAGATAAATTTCAAGATTCCAGCCTCTCAGGCCTTAAGATTTCCCTATCTCATATATATATACATATATATATATGTGTGTGTGTGTTTTGTTTGTTTTTTTATTTGTTTATTTACTTTTTTTTGGTCTGGTTGTGGCTGCCACAAAAATACCAAAACTGGAAAAATTTCAAGATCCTAGCCTCTCAAATGTTAAGATTTATTGACAGTGCCTTCTGGTTTTTGATTTGTTTGTTTTTTAAAATAACTTTGCGGTATGGACATTTTTCTTTTCTTTTTTCTCCTTTAGTCTTTTGGAGTAGTTTTCCGTTTATCTGTGGTGATTTTGTAATCATTTTTATAACTTTATGCTTATTTTGCGTGTATTCGTAGTTGTTTTTCATCTCTGGTGTCATGTCGTGTCGCTTTTTTGTCCTTCTGAAAGCACTGTTTCAAATTGCAATTTTGATTTCAAATCTATTAATTCTTCAGCTCTAGTTGGAGCTCTATGCAAAAATACTTAAAAACTGTCTCTATTTCAATCTATATCAGTGTAATCCTACTTTTACATGTATGCCTCTGTACCCAATAGTCTACTCATATATATTAATAATCAGTGGGTACTTACATATAAACTTCCAGAAACTGAAGTGTAACATTTTTGATCAAAGTAAAACCTCAGTGTAATAAATCAAAGTTCATAAAAAGGTAATAAAATAATCTGTGAACACTACAGCTTTGGGTCTGTTTCCTGGCCTCAAAAATGGCCCAAACTAGTAGAGTTGTTTATTATATTTAATCTCGTGCTACATTAAGTTTAGCATTTTATCTCTACTTTCATGTTGCCTGTTGTTCTTTGGCTGTTTCTGTATCTATATGTTAACTGAGTGTGTGGTCGAAGCCTCCATCAAAAAGACTGGTCAGCTGTATGTAAGCAGAAACACAGAAATTCAGGAACCAATACATGTGCTAATAAAAAAAGGACTATCAGTGTGTCTTGGTTGTCAGTAGATTTAGTGAGGGGGGCCTTTTGTTTCATTATCTGTCCATGTTAAAGCCCTACAAAGTATTTTTCTTCCCACATACCTTCAACTATTAGCACACTTGAAGCACAAAAGCTTAAAATTGGGATTTATTAAACATCATGTTATCAGCTGTAATCTAAAGCATCACCGTTATCCAAATATTACTCTTTTAAAAGCTCATTCTTGCCATATCTATCTAGAACAGGTGAGCTACCTGCAGGATTAAAGCCACTGCAGACATATCTGAGTGACTCTGGAGCTCTCTGGACCTGTAACTTCCGCCTCAGCGTGTTCTGTAAATACAACATCTGGTGTTTAATGATGGGAAGCGCTCATGATCAGTATCCACAAATGGTAAAAGGTCAGCCGAGGATGGAGAACAGTCGAGCTGAGGAATGGAAAAACAGTCATAAAACCCTCCAGTGTTTACGTCCACCTGCACCTCCTCTTTAGTTTTATTGCATTTACAGTTGAATAAATCTTTCCAGCATGTGACGAAAACCTCGCACACCGCAGTTGTCATAAGGTTGGTTTATTTTAATTGTCTGTATACAGTATGAACAGGAGTCTATATTGATATCCATATGTGTAAATCAATGCTTCATTTCACTCACTCTCCTCCAGCAGGAGCTTCTGAAGCAGACTCACCAGGATTTTAAATCATGGCACACAGTCACCCCCCACCCCCTCGTCCATCCCCACCCCGTCGGCGTCCAATTCCCTTTGTCCACGATTTCATTTTTAAACTCCAAAAACCCCCTCTTTTAAATATACTGCAAAGATTGTACAGAATATAGAAATCCACACGGTAAACTAAAGTACACACATTTTTTTTCTTTTTAACTTTATCCCTGGTATAAACCAACACGTAAGTGGCAACTTTGAGGCTACTCGGATTAATCTGCTGAACGTCTGGAGGCTAAAATCCTGTGAAAAGGCCAATTCTTGAAAAAAAAAAAAAAAACAAAAACAGAAAAAAAAAAACAACTGAAAGAAATAATAACATTACTTTTGTTAGATCTAATCGCACAGTAACTAATGCAGCTAGTTTGTGGCAAGTGAGCAACATAATGTTTGAAGTCTTGTCGGGTTAAATCCTTCTGGAAATGAAACTAAAGTGCTCGCAAAATACGGCAAGCTCATTCATAGTGAATAGAAAAGCAGGTAACATAAGCACTATACAGTTTTCAATGTTTACATAGCGTATACACACAATCTATAATATAACAGAGTAGACTATGCCATGAATCAGTAGTCATAAATATTACATTGTGCATGTTCTATTGCACATGTCAAGTGTTTGTATGACATGGTAGGTACGGGTTAGTTACCTAGATGTCATTTGTTTTAATACAAAGATGCAACAACACAGATTTCATAGGACACTGGCTATACATTTTCACAAATCCACTTGTTTTTTTTTTTTCTTCTTCTTCTTCATCTTCTTAGGATGTTTTTCCTAAATAAAACCAAACCTATAATACAACAGTGATATTAAAGTGTGATAAATATTCATGCACAAACAGATGACACTACCTAAGACCTAGTTATGTGAAAAGATACTGCTGCACAAGCCAGCCGCTGGGTGGGAGGGTTTCTCTGTCGGCTATACTGGACATGAAATCAAACACAAAGTGAGTGATCGATAAAAAAAACAAACAAACAAACAAACAAAACAGACAAAAAAAAAAAAAAAAAAGGCACATGGATTGCAGAGGAGCCTACACATGAGCACACACGGACAACTGTCTGGACGTTCTCGCCATCCTTCTCAACAACAGAACCGACGGTTACACAACAGACGACCACATGCAACCACAGAGGAAGGTCCCACACGCTAAACAAAACCGAGATCTTGCCACATTTCACATCTTTTTCACGCCGTTCAAGTTTGTTTTTTTGTTTTTTTTTTGTTCCAAAATAAGAAGAGGGATGCTGATCCCTGCTGTCGATTTGCCTTTTACTCAACAAAGGGTGAGGATAAATTCAGTCTTAAAATTACTAGAAATCATAAGTAATGGGAGCATGTTAGAAACTACAAATGGGTGAGCGGAGGCTGGCACACGTTGCTTTGAATGTCATGTTTGCTGCCCCGAGCTGAGGAGCAGCTCAGTTCATGGGATGCAGGGAGCTTCGGGAAAGCTCTCGCCCTCGGCGGTGTGCTGGACCGTGTGCTCCTGCAGAGCCGTGAGGTCGACAAAGCGCTCGCCGCACCACACGCACTTAAACTGTGTCTCCCGCGAGTGCACGCTCTGGTGCTTGGCTAGGTGCTCGCGCTGCTTGAAGCTCTTGTCGCAGCTGGCGCACTTGAACGGTTTCTCCCCCGTGTGAACTCGGCGATGGCGCTGCAGCTCGGACGAGTACCTGAAGCGCTTTTCGCAGTCGGGACATTTGAGCGGCTTCTCCCGGGTCGGGTCGCATCGGTGCTGAACGAACTCCGAGGACGAAACAAAGCGCTTGTCGCACAGGGAGCATTTCAGTGGCTTCTCCGTGCAGTGAGAGTTTTGGTGGCGCTGCAGCGTCGAATTCTTTTTGTAACCTTTGCCGCAAACGTCGCACTTGTACGGTTTTTCCACTTCGCCACCACATTTGTGTCGCAGCAGTTCTCCCGATTGGCTGAAAGACTTCTGGCAGGATGCACACTTAAACAGACTTTCCATCCCGTGAACCTGCTGGTGGTAGAGCAGGTGGGATGGCTGGAGGAAGCCCTTATCGCAGAGGTTGCACTTGAAAGGGCGATCGGCTGGGTTTTTGTGAGTGCGTCGGTGGCGCACGAGAGCGTACTGCTGCTTGAAGCTCATCTGGCACTCCTCACATTGGAAAGGTCGCTCCTCGGAGTGGGTGCGTTCGTGCTGCCGCAGGTCGGACGGCCGCTTGAAGCTCTTTCCGCAAGAACCGCAGCGGAAAGGCCTCTCCCCTTCTGGCTGGCATTGATGGTGCAGGAGCTCAGACGACTCTTTAAAGTGCATCTCACACAAATTGCACTTGAAAAGGTGCTCGCCCGAATGAGCGTACATGTGCCGCACGAGGTGAGAGCGGTGTTTGAAGCTCTTCTCGCACACCGCGCATTTGTACGGCCGCTCAGAGCTGTGTGTACGCTGGTGATGCGCCAGATGTGAGGACTGGCTGAAGCTTTTATCACATGTGTCACATTTGTATGGCTTTTCACCAGTGTGTATTCTCTCGTGGCGGGTCAGCTCTGACAAATGCCGAAAGGACTTATGGCACACTGAGCACTTGTATGGCCTGTCTGGCGCAGACGCCTCGAACGCAGGAGGAGACGAGGCACTGATGGCGGCGCCGCCACCGGACGTCTCTCCGGTGGAGGGCTGCTGGGGGTTGGCAGCTGACGAGGTTGGGGTGGCATTTCCAGAACCCGGCCGGTAGGTTTTCTCGCAGATGGAACATTTCATTGGATTGTTTCCGTTGCCGTGCGAGTTGTGGTGCTGAGCCAAGGAGGTGAGCAGCGAGAAACCCATCTTACAAACTCCACACACGAAAGGCTTCTGCTCCACCTGCACACACTGATGCTCCAGCAGGTCCGTCGCCTGGCTGAAGATCTTCATGCACTGCGTGCACTGAAAGGACCGGTCTTGGCTCACCATGCACTGGTGCTCATGAGGGTTGGCCAGGTGAGAGATGTCGTGGCCGCAGGCTCCGCACTTGTGCCCTCTCTCGCCCCCTACCTGCAAGGAGGGCTGCTGGGCTTGAACGGCGTGCTGCTGGCCGTGCTGGGGCTGCTGCAGGGAGGCATCTGGCTGCAGGACGACACCGTACACAGCGCAGCCCAGAGGGTTGTCGGTCGCCTGGGGGAGCGTGTGCACAACGGAGGGTGGAGCCACTGCATGTTGCTGCTGCTGCTGCCACGCCTCTGTCATCCTTCCACTTGGCGTTCAACAGCTCAGTGCTCAGAGGATGAGGGGGATTTCAGTGCCCGACTGAGATGACGGTGGATGTGGTTTTAGGAATAACCAGCCGCCCACCGAGGGGAGCTCAGAGCTGTGTCTGCACACACGTCCTGTGAGATTGAGCAGAAAACCTGCAGGGAAACAAAAACAAAAAAAACCCAACTAATTATTTAATGCAAAACTAATGCACAAGATGTTACTGCAGCAAGCACAAACAGTGGAGGATGTGAAAGTGCAGAGCTGGTGAGCTGTCACAGTTTACAACGTGATTTCCCATAAACAGGAGAGTCAGTGACAGCAGCACCAACTCACAAACCTCCTGTTTACTGATTACATGCAGAGAAACGTGCTGTAAAATCAGCGTGACAATAATCGGAGCTGCTGGAATTTCAGAAATTCGTTTGTGATGGGGATAAAACAGCTAGCTCGAGAGGCCTACAACTTCTTAGTCGGTGGTTTAAAAAAACAAATATAAAAGTACAGTGTAGACACTACTTTGTGTGAGTGTGATAACGTGGTGACATGTACACACCGGCAGCATTTACCTCAAACAAAACCCACAAATGAACAGTTAGTTAAGCTAGCGCTCATCAAAACCAGAATCATCCGGCTCTGTCTATTTCCTGAAAATCGGGAACGTAATGAGTCAAAATTTCGGCTACATGTGTTTAATTTAAATGTTCGGTGTAAATGGATTTGTAAAACGCGGCCTGTCTGCTTTATTTAGCTGGTTTTATTAGATATATATCATATTTAAAACAGCATATGCACTGAAACGGTTTCTCTTTCCAGGAGCCGACGTTAGCTGCGACAGCTAACGGCTAACGGCTAGTACCAGCTACACAACTGGACTTCCTCCCCGAATAACACCGGTTATCTCCCGCTAGAAAAGCAAACTAATCTCCGGTGTTTCCGTGAGATGAACTGCACTCGATGGACGAAACAAAACGAGGGAAAAGCGACAAGAAGCGCCGCAGCCCGGCGAGCTGCACGGCTCGGCTTCAGATGCCGCTTTATGAAAGGCCACAATAACGTTTAGTGGTTTGATACGAGCCTTCACTGCGAACGGACCCCAGATAGAAGTAGGCCTCCCCGGAGCTGCGGGGGGAAATCCGCCTCCTGCAGCCGAGCCCCGCACATCTGCACAAAACCACCGTTCGCCACGAAACTGTCCACGATAACTCACCGGAGCCGCTTATCGGTGCTTTTCGCTGCCCTCTTCGCTCTGGGGTCGACGGCCGTCGGTGTTTTCGGGACACGGAGGACCGGCGGTGGAGGGGATGCGGGTGAAGCCGGACGCCATCCTCCTGCAGACGGACGGACACCGGAAACCGCCACGCAGCGAGCTACCGCCGCTGGAGCCGCCGCTGCTACAGCCGCTCCATCCCGGAGGAGCCCGAACCGAGCCCCGGTGGAGGTAAGTAGCCCTGGGAGTTTGTTTGGGGAGCTTTCAAACAAACACAAAGGTGAATAGGAGCCGGATAAGACGCGATAAAGCCCGTTTCTCCGGCGAGACAGTAGGGGGGAGTGTTGCGTTCAGGAGCAGATGTAAACAGAAACACCTGAGAGTCCCTGAACTAATGACGGCGCTGCCAGAAAGTGATCGTCTGCCCAAAAGTGACTCCAGTCTGTTGGAGCAGTTAACATTTTGTCGCTACTTTTCTTTAACCTGCTTTGTGGAACCAATCCACTTGTTTCTACCTGCTGAAGTAGCTTTAAAGAACCTGTTTAACTCATATAATGCAGTTTTACATTTGCCACATTGTGAGTGCAGCCCCAACATTGTGACTGAAATGATGAAAAGAGACAATTGCTTCATTTGATTTATAAAAGGCATCCAGAAATCATGTTAATTACAGTCTGAAAATGACACTACACACTATATCCTCAACATGGGAAGTAGTATTACCTCTAATACATGTTAATATAAGACCTGATTACACAATAAACTGTGAAAAGTGTCACCAAAGACACACTTCTGCCATGACCACAGAAATAAAATGATGGATATTTGAACGTCATGACTGTTTGATTCAGATAAAAGTAGTTGTATACTTATATAAAACTCCACAAAACACACCTGAGCTCCATCTGGAAACTGGCGGATGCATGAAGTGGAGGCTCTTCAGGTTCTCCTCCATCACATTCAGAGCATCAAGCTCCTAAATGATGGTGAAGGGCGTCATTCATAACACGGCGGAGTAATATTTATACCCTAATATTTGTTATTGTGAAATTTCAATCATACAAAATATTCATATTGCATAGATGACCAGAGTGAAGTATGTCAGATTTTCTATTTATTCCTAAATATTTAAATGATTCAGGTAAACTGACATTATAAATAACACTGTTTGCTAAACGTGTTTGCTCCATGAACATTGTAGACACTTTTTTTTTTCTCCACACGGTTTTTCTGTACATACCGCTTTTTTTGTGCTGTTTCTGTATATTCATATTTGTTGCAGATTAAATGAATGTGTTCTGTAAATAAGTTAATCAGGGCATTAGGTAGAAACACACAAATAGTTGAATTGCACTCTGATGACTTGGTTAGGTTAATTTGTAATTTTTCTATTGGAAAGCACCTTTTGTTTTGTAATTTTCTGTATGATTTACTGCAGATTACTATTTAATTCTGTTTAGAACTGCATGTTTTTTGTGTGTCGTGCTGTTGGTCATGTTTGTTACACAACAGCTACAAATAAAAACTACTTGGCTAATTCTGTTCCATTTGCAGAAGCGTTTTATGAATGTACACTGTCTCTGTTTGAAATCAATTCCTAAATTAATAAAATGTTCTGTATTAATCATAACGACTTGACTTACTTTCCTGCATTCTGATGAGTTTTTTTTTTTTGCAACAATTAGTGTTTTTTTCTGTATCAGTTTATGATGGAAAGCATGAAATCCAGACACCAGGTGACTAATATACATTAGAGCCATCCATCCATCCATCCATTATCTATACACCGCTTAATCCTCACTAGGGTCACGGGGGGCTGGAGCCTATCCCAGCTGACTTAGGGCGAAGGCAGGGGACACCCTGGACAGGTCGTACATTAGAGCCTCAACTATAAATGGATTAGATGTCAACTAATACATTAATCGTCAACTATTTTTATAACTGATTCATCATTTTGAGTACATTTTTAAGAAACAAGAAGTCTAAATTCTCTGATTGCAGCTTCTCAAATGTGAATGGTTTCTGGTTTCTTTCTTCTATGACAGTAAACTGAACATCTTTGGGTTGTGGACAAAAATGACATTTGTCATCGTGGGCTTTGGGAAACACCAATAGACATTTTCACCACGTGACATGGTGTAGCCCAAAAAAGTAATCGAATAATACAGAAAAAAATAATCTGCACATTAATTGACAATGAAATTCATTGTGTGTTAATTTGATAATCTAAACATTTGGCTCAGGGTCAGTAAATAATCCAAAAACATCAATTGATTTACCTGCGAAAATAAACAGCAGAAAAATGAATAACTTTTAAAAAATGTATTTATTTTTTATTATGGTCAAATATTTAAATAAAATAAATTATTTTAGTTGGCTAACTTATCAAGTCCTTTCGTACCCCAAAGGCATTAATTGTTTTGTTGCTTGAAATGAGTATATTTCACCCATTAACACAATATTTTGGGCTGTTTTTGCAGTGTGATTGGACCAAACTAATTAAAATTGAGATGCGTGTGGGTGCCAGACATGTTAATGATATAAATAAAGTGCTGGATGCTGCAAGAACAATCCTATTTCTCTTTTTAAATCACTCCTCCTACTTCAGTCCTTGCTTGACCCTGAAGTCGTTCTGGTTTTCCATCTTGGTGGTCGTCTGAAGCTTTTATTTCTGCTCAATGAGGAGACGTGAGACCATCCTTAGCACAAGCCGAGTATTAGTCAACACACAGAAACCTTTTAATACCACAACAAATACCAGATTCAGGTGCAAAATTATCACAGAGTTTAGTTGTGATTCACCATTTAGTTAGAATTACTGACTCTAATATAACTGCAGGTCTGATTATTAAAGGAAGTTTAGAACAAGTGCAGTTTGTCTTTTAGCTGTTGGTCATTTTAACCTGTAATCTGACAGTGAGGGAGAGAAGGATTGAATTTTCTTTCAGCAGTAAAAGACATTTTCCTTCTAATCAGAACTCGGATTATTACAGAGTTAAATAGCAAACACGATGTCAAGACAGATGCAAAGTGTTGCTGGTGTCTGAGCAGTAACAACGCATCTCTGTAGACACAGTGAAAGTAGAGTTGTTACATACAGAAGGCAAAAAGCAAATAAGTGGATTCTTTTCAGAAAAACACATACAGACACAAAAAGTGTCAAAGTCATAGATATGTATAATAAAGGCTAGATGTCTTAAGGCGGCGTTTCAAACGGGATCACCCTTCGGCCATCTTGATACGGGAAAGCTCTCTGGTGGAACCTGTGGTACGTGAAGGAAGGTGAGTGATCTGCACAAACGTAAATACTCTTATCTCACCGAAATCTTGTCGGATTTACAAACGGTTTAAAAATACAGATAAAATACAAAAAAATTAAAATACAAATTGTTGCTGTCCGTGAGAGTGTAACATAATTATCCATAAGTGTTATAACTACACCTCTGACGTTTATAACAAACCAAACTGTTTGAAAATCGGTAGAAAATTGAGCAAGTTATGGTTATTTAAAAAGTACATGCACCACTACACTGGGTGAGTGAGCGGACCGTACCAAGATGGCCGCCAGTGTGGCCGTGCGATTCCATTGGACGAGACATCTAGCCTTTATGATACATACCTATGGTCGAAGTGACACACTTTGCTCAGCATCTTCCCTGCTGTCTCACATTAACTTGTGGCTTCAGAGTTTTGTTGGCTTTGTGCAGAGCCATGTTAGCTGTTAGTCAGCTTTATGCTAAGCTAACTTAATCAACTAATGGCTAAAGCTTTATTTTCATACTGACTAGGACACAAGGATCCTATTCATCTTCCAGCTGCAAGAAGTGTCTTTTCCAAAACTACCACTTTATATGAAACTTGAAAGGAAAAAAAACACCAACTTTTTCTGCAGATGTCTCACCTGTCCCAGAAGGAGGATGTCAGGGTGGATGGATGGACGGATCAACAAAAACAGGACTTTTCCATCTGTTTTCTTCTTGTTTCCTGGCAACAATTAACACCAGTTTATTTTTCTTTCTTTCTTTCTTTCTTTCTTTCTTTCTTTCTTTCTTTCTTTCTTTCTTTCTTTCTTAACCCAAACCAAGTTCCTTTTCCAAAATCTAACCATGTTTTGTGCCTCGGCATTTTCAACCAGAAAAGACTTGGTTCTTAACAGTTTTGAAGTGAAACACCGTCTTACTGATGGAGGCATTAAATTAAAAGGCTTCTGTGCGTCATTTAAGATGGCAGTTTTTTGTTATTTAATAAATTGTCAGGAATACAGGACAACCAAAAGGATTTTTAATGCCATGAAACACTTCATCTTGTTTTTTTGATTATTTGTGACAGCCGTAAGTCTTGGCTGAACCTCCTGCAGGTTAAACTGGGTGAACCAAATACTGTTAATACTGACTGACTATGAAAGCTCTGAAAACACTCACTCTTCTAGAAACATCTCATAATGCAACATTCTCTGTAGAAGACCATGCTCCACCATTGCTGTCTTGTTTAAATACAAGACAACCATCACTGTTTCAACCTCAAAAAAACGATCTTGTCTTACATTTAGATTAGTATGTTTATTTGGGTAGAAAAATTCAAGTCATTAAAATTTAGACATTTGAAACTTTGACTTTAAGACTTTGGTATTCCTCCAAATCTTGCCTACAACCTTGCTTTTAATAGATTTGTGTATGTAGTCTACGAATCAAACCATGAACTGCACCCTTAATTATGATTTACATGTTTTCAGCCCATTGAACGTCGGTTATCAGTCGTCATCAGCTCTTTAATAATGTCTCAGATTGGACAAACTGCACCTATTGGTGGGCCAGAAGGTGCGTATCATCTATTCTCGTTATCGATAAACATAAAGTAAACCAGATTACGCAGACGACCTCTTGTGGTTGTGTGAATAAGTGCCTGTAAAATTTAGTTTACATTATTTTTAGAAACCTAATCTTGCAGTTTTGCTGACAATCCCTAACAAAAGTCTAAAAATAATGGTGTTGCAAAGAAAGCCACTGGCTCATGCCACCTCTGAACCCTTCGCCTCCAAATTTGAACAATTTCATTGAACGTATGCGACCAATCTTCGGCATCGCTACGACTTATTAAGGTGATAGCAGCTACTAGTTACACCTTCTAGCCATACGGGCACGATTCTTATTTTCAGGCGATAACACAGGAACGACAATCTAGTTATGAGTATTATATTCCAGATCCACTTAAATCTCACAGACTGGACCTTTAAGATCAGCTCGTTCACGCCTGCTGTTGAGTCCTGCCACTTTAAGAGATCTACTGTCGGTTCTGGCTTCAGCCGGGAGTCGGGGTGTCGGGCCAAAAAGTGATCATCTGTCACAAAGTGATTGCAGAGAGTAATTATCCTTATGTCTCTCTATTATGTGATCTGCTTTGTGCTCCGGATTATAACCAATCCGCTGCTTTTTACTGATTGAATCGGCTATAAATGACCAATTCAGCTCATACAATGCAGTTTTCCGCTTGATAGAAAGTGACTGCAGCCCGTACATGGTGACCGAAATGTTATCAATGCATCAGAATGATAGTTTGGAACTATGTATATTTTAAATCATAAGGTTTAATTGCAAACTAGACCATTTCTTTATGTTTTATTTGATCTACAAG